ATTAATCAAATCCCATTAAATTTCCTCAGTCCCATAAGGCTTGAGCTGCAATATGACCCGCCAATAGGTTTAAAAATATTCTTAAGTCTATTTATATCATGTTTGCCTCTTCAAATGTTTTAGCCTAGAGCTCTCATCAGCTCTACACAATAGGATACTATAGGTATTATATTCCGAAGGGCCAAAGCTTTCACATCCCCAATGATATCACACTTCCTAAAATCCTGGCTCTTTACCATATATTGTTTCCCAATAACCCTGTGAGGTGGCCTGCAGTTATTAAAAAATATGGATGAGATGACAAGTTAGATGCCACAGGGTAAGCTTCAATGGAAGTAGAACTTGAACCAGTGCTCCCCATAGTCAAATGGGTGTTGTTGTCCTTTGAGTCACACTATTCCCAATTTATTTTGTTGTAAGTATGATGTGATATTTAATTACACATTAGGTGACCTCTAATTTGTTATGACAAATGTGCCCTCCAATTGCCAGCACCTTGAAAATGCTGCTTAACTATACAAAGCTCTGGTGATGGGTGAGTCTTAGCTGAACTAGAAATCCATGCCAAAATTTTCAAGAAGCTCATTTTACCAAAGAGACTATAAGAACATAAAAGGGGGAAGGATGTAGGGGAAAGGAATGAATTTCTTTATACATCCTTTTGCATCTTTCTGGATCATTTCGCATTCTAGCCCAAACCCACAACTGTGTAAATATGGTTTATATCCTGAAGCTGGATATAATGCAATACTGCATCTGAAGAAGTGAGTTTATATGCATGAACCCTCATACTAAAATAAAACAAGTTAGTCGTAAAGGTGTTATGACATTCCCCTTTGCCCTCCCATTCTCTTGCTCATTTTTAATATGTAAGACTTTTTTGAAAACTGTAAGAACATGAAAACAGTCATATTGACTCAGAGCTATCTGGACTAAGATTTTATTACCACAGTAGCTAATGAGAACCTTATGGAAAACCCATAAATAGGACATGAAAAAATAGTAACACAGTTACTATTTTTCCCTATTATGTATGTATTGGTTGTTGTATTCAGGCATTGAATGCTTTTCTTTTGTGATTGGAATGCGCCCCGAGTCCCTTTAAGGAGATAGGGCGAAATATAAATAAAGATTATTATTGTTGTTGTTATTTATTCATTCAGTCACTTCCGACTCTTCGTGACCTCATGGACCAGCTCATGCCGGAGCTCCCTGTTGGCTGTCACCACCCCCAGCTCCTTCAGAGTCAATCCAGTCACTTCAAGGATACCATCCATCCATCTTGCCCTTGGTCAGCCCCTCTTCCTTTTTCACTTCACTTCACTTCACTTCACTTTATTTCTTCAATTTCCCCCAGCATCACTGTCTTATCCAAGCTTTCCTGTCTTCTCATTATGTGGCCAAAGTACTTCATATTTGCCACTAATATCCTTCCCTCCAATGAGCAGTCAGGCTTTATATCCTGGAGTATGGACTGGTTTGATCTTCTTGCAGTCCAAGGCACTCTCAGAACTTTCCTCCAACACCACAGTTCAAAAGTGTCTACCTTCCTTCACTCAACCTTCCTTATGGTCCAGCTCTCACATCCATAGATTACTACAGAGAATACCATTGCTTTGACTATGCAGATCTTTGTTGCCAGTGTGATGTCTCTACTCTTTACTATTTTATTGAGATTGGTCTTCTGATTTCCTGGCTGCAGTCTGCGTCTGCAGTAATCTTCGTTCCCAGAAATACAAAGTCTGTCACTGCCTCCATGTTTTCTCCCTCTAATTGCCAGTTATCAATCAGTCTTGTTGCCATAATCTTGGGGTTTTTTTATGTTTAACTGCAACCCAGCTTTTGCACTTTTTTCTTTCACCTTGGTTAGAAGGCTCCTCGGCTCCTCCTCACTTTTGGCCATCAAAGTGGTATCATCTGCATATCTAAGGTTGTTAATGTTTCTTCCAGCAATTTTAACTCCAGCCTTGGATTCATCAAACCCCGCACATCACATGATGTGTTCTGCATACAAGTTGAATAGGTTGGGAGAGAGTATACAGCCCTGCCGTACACCTTTCCCAATCTTGAACCAATCTGTTGCTATAGTATATACTATAGTTGCTATAGTATAGTCCTTATACAGATTCCTCAGGAGAGAGACAAGGTGGCTTGGTATCCCCATATCACTAAGAACTTGCCACAATTTATTATGATCCACACAGTCAAAGCCTTTAGAGTAGTCAATAAAACAGAAATAGATGTTTTTCTGAAACTCCCTGCCTTTCTCCATTATCCAGCGGATATTGGCAATTTTATTATTATTGACATAAAAACACAGTATGTCACAGCAAACGAGATATATATGCTGGATTTCATATCACAAAATCACAAATCGAACACTTCCCAAGCATCTATTATTATTATTAATAATAATAATAATAATAATGCTATACTCTCACTGCTGTTCCTTAGCAACTGGTATTCAGAAGTATCTTTCTTCATATCCATGAGGAAACATGAAACTACAGACAACAGAAAACTCTATTGAAATGAATGACTTCTGCCAAAGGCATGCCATATAATTGCACTGAGAGACCTAAAATGCTGAGAGGCAACACCAATAAGCATTTTGCTGTCGCATTTGTGGCAGCATTATAGGAGAGATAATATCAAGAGAGATCCTTTCTGGAGAAAGAAAAGTATGGCTTTATTTCAAGCTGGGACCCTGGAGTGGAGCTGTGTTCAAAAGCAGCCAGAGTGACGATAAAGGCATTGACTGTGGCTTTTATAACTCTACAAATGCAGGCAAACAAAGAAACCTGCTTCTACATACATTGACATCATTCACTACGTCACTTTAGCATAATCGAAATATCAAATTCTATCTTCCAACATGCGAGAGGCATACCTCTGTATTTCTTTCTAAAGAGCACCTTACAGCTTGCATCAATGATCAATCCATCCATTAAGGGGCCTACTTTGACCTGTCAGGAGGGAGAGAGATAGGCTCCGTACTTAGAAGGAAGACGCTGGGCTATGTTGTACCAGACTCTCTGGAATGTATAGGTAACAGGTCCCCCTTCTCTTCCCCCTTTCAACATTCCTTCTCCGTCCTGCTGGCTTTCTTACACAGAGAGAACCTGACTTTTCTATACATTTCAGTTCTGGTAAAGTACACACAATATATGCATAAATAAATATCTATTTTTCCAATATCTCCCCATCACATTTAGTATTTCCAGGTCCTCCAGCACAACACTATGCATACCATAGCTAGCATTACAGTGAAGGACCTAGAAAATGCCTACAGAAAGCACATTTTTTTCCCCAATGTGGGTAAATGAATCCATGGGTACTGGCCCCACAGGTACAGTGGTTGCATTGTAATTGCTAGATCTCATGATCAGTAGTCACTGCTAGCTTTATCCCTCATTAATTTGTCTAATCTTCTTCTAAAGCCATTCAGGTGATTATTACCACATTTCACTGTTTGACTACGCACAAGGAAAATAAATAATTCTTCATAATTTGGCTCACTCAGATGCAGCATGTGGCAGAAAACACAGCCTTTCAGGACAGATATTCTGGGCACATTGTCACTGGGAAGGAAAAGCCCCAATACGTACGAAGCACCTGTATGTTCCAAATGTGGGGAAATCCTCCTGATCTTATTTCCTAAAGGGCTTGCCCAGAGAGGTTCACTGCTCTTCCTGTGGATGCTGTGTGTCTATTACAGAAGCTGGCTTAGCATCAGTATTGTCACATGAAAACTATGGGAATCATGCCATCATCCTGATATTGCTGAGCTACAGCTCTCATCACCCCTAGACAACATACCTGATAGTGCAGGACACATTAGACAAGAAGTGAGAAAACTGTAGCCTTCTATAGGTTTTTAAATGGAAACTTCTGTACATATCAATATTTGCTATGGCGGCCCAAAGCATTTGGAGCAGTATACCAAAAATAATTAAATAAATCTGCAAACTTTTTTGTCCATAAGGAATAGTAATGTGGACTGAAATGGACTGATAGAATCAATGGATAGACCTTGGAATAATAATAATAATAATAATAATAATAATAATAATAATCTTTATTTATACCCCGCCACCATCTCCCCAAAGGGGACTCGGGGCGGCTAACACAAGGCCAAGCCCAAAGATACAATACAGCAAAATAAAATACAAAATGCAGACAACAAAAATTACATCAGAATAAAATACAAACAGTAGCAAAATAAATTAAGTAAAGCAAATTGACATAATATTTAAAAACCTCATATAATAAAATACTCTAACCAGTTAAATGACATACATTATATTAATGGACAAATAACAAATCTTAAGCGAGAGATCCAAAATTTCTTATTAAAGAGTAATACTGCTATCCGTGCCCTGCAATTGAAGGGAGATGTCGACAACATGGAATGTGTCCATAGGCGGGCGACTAAAATGATGGTTAGCATTTAATGGCCTGGCAGTTTCAAGGTCTGGCTTCTTACTGTCTTGGGGAAATTCTTTATTGGGAGGTGATTAGCTGGCCCTGGTTGTTTCTGGTCAGGAATTCTCTTGTCTTTGAGAGTTCTTTCTCCACAGATATATAAATCCTATTTTCCAAGTTTCCAACAGAGCTCACAACCTCCGAGGATGCCTGCCATAGATGTGGGTGAAACGCCAGGAGAGAATGCTTCTGGAACATGGCCCTACAGCCTGAAAAACTCCCAACAACCCAGTCACCTTTCTGACTCCGGAGCCCCTCTCGCCTGATCAGACTCCTGATCCCAAGATGTTCTGCCGGCGATTAGCCCCACGGACTTCGAAAAGGCCGATTAGGCAGATCAGGGCAGCGGGAAGGAAACACGCGTGACCGAGGGAGCGGGGAAGAAAGCGGAGCCTCCTTCCTCGGGGGGCAGTGGACCAGGGGGGAGAGAGAGAGAGAGAGAGAGAGAGAGGGAGAGGGAGAGGGAGAGAGAGCGGCGTCATCTCTGGGTGAGCCTGTCTTCTCTCCTCCTTTGAAGCGCAAGCATCCCGCCGCAGCAAAGCCGAGCCCCGTGGGGCCTTGGGCGCGGAGTGAGGAGGGAAGGAGAGGCTGACAGTGCCTGCCTTCCACTCAGCCCAGGCACACGGGCTCGGACCCTCTTCCCAAACTCGGAGCAGAGGCGTCAGTCAGCGCCGGAGCCGCCAAAGGAGCCTCAGGTAGGGCGCCCAGGTCTCCCCATTGGGGAGCAGGCCGGCAGGAAGGACATACATGGGGTGCGTGTGAGTGTTGGTTTTCCCAATGGGGGAATCAGGAGAAAGGTTCTGCGCCTTGTGTGTTGGGAAAGGGGTACCTTTGGGCTTTTCTCAAGCAAGGAATAATACAACCAGAGACGGTTTTGCCAGTTCTTTCCCCTGAAGTTTAGCCTGGTATAACTCGGCAGTCTCACATCCAAGTTCTAGCCAGGACTGGCCCTGCTTAGCTTCCAAGGCCAGGCAAGATCTAGTGCCATGATTAGGGTAAGAATCTACAGATCGGCCAGTTTGATCTTCATGCTGTCAGCATCACTGTAAACGTTTCAGGTCCCCAGCAGGCGGGATCTGGTGCCTTTAAAGCAGGCCTGGGCAAACTTGGGCCCTCCCTCCAGTTGTTTTGGACTTCAACTCCCAACATTCCTAACAGCCTCGGGCCTTTCTCCCCCCCCCCCCCCGCCTCAGAGAAAGCCGCTTGGATCCACTTAACATAATTAACAACAGTTTCATCACCAGCTTAAAAAAATCAACTATTCTTTCTTCAATTTTTCAGTCGGTTGCTTGAGAGTTCCAGTTAACTGAGAGTCTACTGCATTAAGAGTTAGACCAGGCATGGGTAAACTTGGGCCCTCCCTCCAGGTGTTTTGGACTTCAACTCCCAACATTCCTAACAGCCTCAGGCCCCTTCCTTTTCCCCCTCAGCTGAGAAAGTAAAGGGCCTGAGGCTGTTCGAAATTGTGGGAGCTGAAGTCCAAAACACATGGAGGGTTGAAGTTTGCCCATGCCTGCAATAGTAGGATTAATGTGTGAAGGCTGCAGCAAAGTGGCTCAGCCCAGTTTGTAGGTACCTGAAGGAGGGCTCGATCTATTATTGTTTCTCGGGCTTCAACTTTTCCCTTTATTGCTTGGGAACTTCTGATAAATTAAAAAAAGTTCCAAAAATATAAATATAAATGAATCAAATGTTTATTTTAAAAATATGAATGGCAAGCAGCAGAGGGGAAGAGTCCATTCACTTTTTCTGAAATGATGCCTCATCCTTCCCAAACCAAAGGGAACCTTCTCTCTTGCTTCAAAATTATTATGCTGATATTTAGATGAGCCAAGATTCAATGTATTACAAAAGTAAAAGTGATGTAATTGATTTTTTTCATGACAGGAGCGACTTGAGAAACTACAAGTTGCTTCTGGTGTGAGAGAATTGGGATTGGCCGTCTGCAAGGACGTTGCCCAGATTTGCTAGTGGGGAACACACAGCATACAGTACTATTGTTATTTGCCAGAAAGTTGACTTTGACTTCCCTATGAATGAGAAACATGCTAACTCCCTATATACTGCCTTGCTCAGGTCTTGTGTTTTGAAGGTCTTTGGTGACTCCTCTGACATCTCCTCACAACCTTCACAGGGGCCCCGACCCCCAGGTTGAGAAACGTTCCCTTAGATGGACCTGACTAAAGCACCCGTCACGCTTAGCTATTGTCCATGCAGGCTAGGATTAATGGGAAGCACAGCCAAGCCAATCTGGAAGGGTCCATGTTCCTCAGCTATAAAGACTGAGTGCCTGGCTGGTGAGTCCCTTATAGGAGAGAAGGATGTGGTTTTGAAAGTGATAAACAATAAATACAAGGATGAGGCAACAAGGTTTCAAGCAAGCAGCAACCTTTGAGACAATAACAAGGAAAGGGTCTGTAGAGCAGAACAACAGATTTTAAGTGACAGGTGGAATATCATTCTGCAGGTCTATTTGTATTTGAGAGGAATTCATATCTTCCATTTTGTGTTTGGTCAAGGGTGCTAGTGTGCACTTCAGTTGCAGTGACAATGACGATTGGAAGACTAATTGTGACAGGGAGGAAGGAGGGATGACAGGAAACTGGCTTCTTTGAGGCTTGTCCCTAATCTTTTCTGGGATTGAGGCCACAAATATTTTCCATGCTCCTTGCCAAAGATAAGAGGGATGAATCAGAGTGAGGCCATCAGAGAGAGAGAGAGGGAGGCAGTTCAATGTTAGACAAGAAAGAGAGGGTTAATCCTCTAGCTACAATGTTATGCTCCCAAGATGGAAGAGTGCAAAACAATCATGCACCATATTGTGCAATGTGTGTTTGTGTTGGAATAGAAATCAGGGATTTGAAGCTCTGGGTCAAAGTGGAGAACATGTGGGCTTCCATGTGCCACTAACATCAACCCTAGTCATTATGGCCAACATTTGGAGATTATGGGTGTGGTAATCTGGTAGCATCTTGTTATCTTGTCGGTAAACATACAGAGCATTATAGATGCCTCTGGAAAGAGAGGTGGCTCATGAAGCCATTTGCCAGGTCTCTCCTGGCTGTAAGCCACCCACGTGTAGAATATATATATTTTTTAAAAACTCAAAATTCAATACTTAAACTTACCTACTTGAGAAAAGAAGCAGAAAACTAAATTGACTCTCCCCCAACCCTCTCTTTTCCCTCCAAACTTTTGATCAGCAGAGATTTTCTTTCCACTGGGATTTTGCTTTTCATTGCCTTTTTGCATTTCCATTTACATACCTTCTTACAACACATCTCCGCCCACAATATTTGCTTCTTTCCTTCACTCAAAGCACAAATACACAAATAAAACATAAAATAAAACAATGAGATTTTTAAAAAAGTTTTAGGGGTTTAAAAAAAATATTTTATTAATTATTTGTCACAAACAAGCTAATATACAACCAGAAAAATACATTTAAAATAATGAAACATGTCTAGGTCTGTATTCAAATGGCCTTGTGCAAAATAAGTATAACATACTTTACCATTCACTCAAATTCAAGACATTTTAAAAGCAAAATCTGTGCAAACTATTCTTATTGGTTACTACGTTTTAGGAAAAACTGTTTCCATCTGATTAATAGCAATAGTGCCACCAGCTACTCCCCCCCCCCCCCCCCAAATCATATGTAAAAGTCCTAATGTACATTTTAAAAAGAAACTCCTTGCAGGGCAGGGAATATATTTTCACAATCAAGAGAAATGGGTTGGACTGGATGGCCCATGAGGTCTCTTCCAACTCTATGATTCTGTGTCTACACACATCTTGATTTCACATTAATAAAAAAAATAACCCCACAAGAATGGTAATAGGCAGTAAAGCATTTTCTTGTGATTTGAGCTTTTTGACTGTTTTATGTACACAAGTATGGATACCTAAAAAAAACAAACCCCAATTTGCATAAATTGAAAGATGTTTAAAATCATAAATGTTTCATTAACATTACTCCATCATATTTAACCTTTTCTGGAATCACATATTTCTAATTTTGTAACATTCCAACTTGTCCAAATAGGATTACGTATTTCTTTTTCTTTAAATATTTTCCATTTTTTCTTTTCTTTTCTTTTTTCCCCCTGACAACCATATGTAATACCATTTCCAAACATAAACTTAACGTTCACATCTCAAGAGTTCTGCCATAATACTGATACTATGACTATGAAAAAGAAAGTCATATCAAATAGCTCCAAAGGATTCTTCATCATGTCTTTCTTCAGATGTTCAACACAACACCTCAGCCCATAATATTTGCCTTTTTTCTTCACTTAAATTGTGTTTATAATGCTAAAGCACAAACGCACAATTAAAACACAAAATAAACAAGACGTGGCTTTTTGAACAAGCGTTTGCAAATGCAAAGTAACTGACATAGGAAAATGGAATGACTAGACAATACGTTTGGACGTTTTTAATAAGGAGACACTATGAATTTATATTTTATTGATTTGTTTAGTTTTTATTATATGTTATGTTTTTAATTCTATTTATGACATTGTAAGCATTGAATTTTGCCCTGTTAACCACCTTGAATTGCCTACGGGCTGAGAAAGGCGGCATACAAAGACAGTAAATAAATAAATAAATAAATAAAACAATTAGATTTTTTTTACTCTTTGACTTTTGCCTGAGATTACTGTTGCTGGCACATAAACCACCTGCTTTTGCCTTTATTATGAATATGGGCATTGTGGAATGAGAAGTTGTTGCTGTTATATGCCTTCTGTCTCACGGAAAGCCTCTCCATGGAGCTGAGAGCATGTGGCTTGCCCAAGGTCACCTAGTGGAGTTCTGTGGCTTCCCAGGGTCAAGTGTTGGGTTCAACACTGAAACCATCATCTCATGCTAGTGTTTTAAGTTGAGTGTCGTCTGGGACTCGAGAGCTGAACACTGCTAATTGCAGATGCTTCCCCAAAAAAGTGACAACCAATAGTATTAAAGTGATGTTAGAATCTGTTTCAGTAGAGAAGATTTCCTTTCAGGAGCTCAGAACAGCTTGAGAGCGCACCAACACTGTCTGATGTTATTATTGTTGTTGTTGTTGTTATAGCAGCAACAAGAATAAGAACTTTATATTGCATGTATTCCCCTGGAATTCAAGGCAGCTTACAAATCACAACAGATACACTACATTTAAAATATATCAAAGGTTCGTGTAATCCCTTTCCACATCAGGGAAGGAGAATGCAATGACCCTCCAGATAATGTTGGTCCATAACTCCCATCACCCTTTGCCACAAGCTATGGAAGCTAAGGCGGAAAGTCCAGACACACTGAGAGTGTTACACATTCTCTACCAATATCCTACATGCACCAAAATAGTGACTGTGAAGTGAGAAGATGGGCAAGTATTGACTGAAACAGCCAATCACTGCTCAGGGGGTGGTTTTCTTCAGGGGACAGACGGTAGGTGCATCACTGTAGAGCTAATGTTTGACACCACTTTAATTGCCATGATCTAAAGCTACAGAATCCTGGAATCATATAATTATAGAGTTAGAAGAGACCTCATGGGCCATCCAGTCCAACCCTCTGCCAAGAAGCAGGAAAAATTGCATTCAAAGCACCCAGTTGTAGTTTTATAAGATGTATAGCCTTCTTTGCCAAAGAAGGCTGGTGCCCCATGAAATTACAACTCCCAGGACTCTATAGCTTTCAGCCACGG